TTCAACTATCTGTAGGTCTTAACAAGGTCAAGGATTCTTATGACTCTTTCATTAGTTCTTGAAGGCGAAGGCAAGGGAAGATCATGCATGATTCATCTTCAAACGACTAACCTCGTGCTGAAAATACTTGAAACTACCAAAAAACCTGGACCCCTGGCAAAACACTGTTCTCGTTGGACCGTTTAGGTTTTCAAGAAGTTGCCGATGCTGCATTCCTGAGTAGTGAGCAAAAGTTGCTCAAAACTGAGAGCACTCAATATTAGAACGCATTAGAAAAAAGTATATCACAAAAAAATGTTTCGAACGATCAAATGACCATGAGAAAGATCAAATTTGTTTTCTAAAAGTATCTAATGCCTCTGCTCCGTCAAGATCCACATCTAGCTCATGTAACAAAATAGTCTTTTAGTGTGGTAAAATTTGCAATAAAAGGTTTTTCAAGTATAATTTAATATGAAGTCATTGCTAAATAGCATATCCAAAAACAGGGAAATCAGACTATTATAACACCCAATAAAATGTATTTCAAAATGGCGGATCTCATAATGCGACTTTTATGAGTTTTACCACTTTTTGTGAATAATTTTCTAGTACCGTCCATCTCCAAGTGACAAAAGAGAAGAAAGTGTTTCAATTTACATCCCTAATATTTTAAAATTGCTATCAATAAAGATATTTGTCGCTTAAGATACTTCTATCAAAATAAATGAAGTGGGTCAGAGCATTATGGAAGGAATCCTTCCTAAAGAATAGTTATGTTTACTTCAAATAGGACTGGCAGTTCAGATGCATCACAGTTTCACAATCTCGGGTTTTCTTCATCGTACTCAGGAGTAACGATGAGGCTACTGTTCAAACTTGTCATCAGAAAAAAAGGCATACACCCGTTATAGGAGATCACTGATGACAAAAATTTCATTGGTTACATGTAGCAAATCCTGACATGTTTTCTTACTGCATATTCCTATTTATTCAACCTTGATTTCCCTCGAGTTACTACATACTGACTTTATCATGCAGGAATGAATTTTTAATATATTTCTGAGAACAGTAATACAACTGAGTTCGTTACCCCGTCAGAAGAAGCTTAAAAATATTGAAAACATATTGAAAGATTTTGCAATAATAAAGTAGTGTTTTTATAACTCACGAAGAATGGGGTTGGCAATAAGATAATTATTCAAAATCAGTCAAAATAATGCAGTATGAATCTATTTTCCAAAAGTTTTTCAGAAATATACAGGGTGTTTATTAAACATGCAGTACAAAATTAAGGAACTATTCTTTGGATTATTCTAAGGATATTTTGTTCTTTGATTTTTGATAGGGCGCTTTGTTTCGAAGATACGGGGCGAAACAGAATTTCGGCAATAAAAATTTTGGTAATCTTGAAATTATTAACGTAGCCGAAATGAAAGTATACTACACTGGACCTACCAAGTAATAAAAAATCTAACAATTCCGTTGGTACCTATCAACAACATTCCGATTACTACAATTTGAATAATATGTCTCATAAGTGATCATTTGTATTTGTCGAATAGGTTTAAACTGATTGACTTTGTCTATTTGACGTGCATTTTCTGTGTGTTTTCAACAGTAACATACGAAGATCGCTGGATTGGTCGAGGTGAACCTCACTTATGGCCTCGATAACCAGACTTACAAAGTTCTGCCTCATCCAGCATACTCCCCAGACCTTTCGCCAACCGACTACCATCTTTTCAAGCACCCTGATGATTTTCTTACCGGTAGAACCTTCGCCAATCAGAACCAGGCAAAAACGGCATTCGTCGACTTTATAGAATCGCGAGCACCCAACTTTTATGCTGACGGAATTAATCAACTTGTGGTGCTTATTTCGAATAAATTGTATGAATATTCACAGAGATATTAGTTTGAAACAGACTCATAATAACGGACAAATATTTTTAAACAACCTAATAATTAACGCACACATCACAGAACTGATTTTTTTGGTAATTATCGTGCATCATGTTATCATGTTTTTCAAATAATATGATAAAATTACTATTTAAAAAAATCATAAAAATCGGAGCTGCTTCTGAGAACTTCTACGATGTTCCATTGCGATATTTAAGCGCTGGCTGCAAGCGTATTCAGACAGTCAAGTACACAGTGAAGTGGATGTTACAGTGCGGCACGCGAAGTGATCTAGTAAGGCAAGAGTACATTAAAATTATAGTTGAAGTTTTAGTTGAAGTATTTGTGTATTTAAAGTGAAATGAAGTTAAGTTTGATTATTCAGTGTAGTCAATTATTGGTGAACCCACGGGTAAAAACGTAACAATACTAATGAGAAGTACGTCGTTAGGAAACTTGCACAGGTGCCTGTTGAATGCAAGTCATACATTTCAATTCAACATATCAATAAACTATGTTTGTCATTTTCACATTTATTTTCCAATCACATTAACTATCATCGACGAAACGATATCATTTGTTTTTCCAGTCAACGTCAACTCATGATTATGGACATCACTAACAATTTGAATCGTTTTTCCAAACATGCTGAGTCTAGCCTTGCATTTTGTATGTTGTTTCATCGAGCAAGACCACAATACTTTATTTGTTCGTTTTCTTTCGAGAGTGAATCTGCAATTTTCATATACAAGAATAGGATGTTTATGTCCTCGAGCGAACTGAATCCTTTGCACTATTCCTAAAAATATATCCTGTCAGTTGAGTAATAGGTGGACCAATATCGTTACAAAAACTAAACTTATAATGGCGAAAGCAATAGTTATCCGTGGAGGATATCCCATGGATATCTGAAAAAGGCATCTCATAAATAACCTTTGATAATTTTTATGGATTTCCTACGTGGCCTTCAGAAGTACGGACTAGTATAAATAAGCAATATTCTACGAAGACGCATCAAACTTTACTCAGCTGAAATAAAAAAGGGTTTCCACGGTGGTGTGTAGCAAAGCCGGACTTTGACGTCGACCACGGGATGGTTGGTGAAAATTTCACTGCAAGCCAATTAGATGAAACCAAAGCTTAAAAACGAAGCATTCGTGGTTTAATACCATATGGCGCTGCAATAGGTCTCACCAGTTGTGCTAAGCTGAGCCATAGTATGGTATATAATGGTTTCTTCGTAAAAATAGATGTTCTTGCGTACCCTACCACCTCTGATAAAACCTATGGCAGGTTGCAACAGCGCTGCCTGATCATGTAACACGAATACACTGTGATTTCAGCCAGTATAATTATTTAAAAATAACAACGTGTCGGTATAATGTAAATCAATATCTGTAATGAAAAAATGGCAAAGAATCTGGAAAAATATCAGTTGAAACTATTTGATAGTGTTCCATTCTTCCATGGTCTACCAGCCCAAATTTGTTTCTAATTGTAAATGTAACGTATCAGTTTCATCATCTATTTTGAAAATTAATTTAAGTAACATTCCAATAACAGACCAATTGGGTCAGGAATAGAGACCAGAAACCAGTTTTGTTAAATATTGCTAATAAGGACAGTGATTTATTTGTGAGGTTGTTTTCCGCCAATTATTAGAGGAATTTCCGCCTGAAATGCAGTCGCATCTATCTTGGATTTGAACCAAATCTATCTGTGAACCAAAAAATATATGTTCACAGTGTTTCCTCCTCCTGGGTTGTAAAAGGCTCTCCCTCTCCCGCTCTCTTCCCCACTCTCTATAACTCTACCCCTTTCTCTCACTCTACTTCTGTCTCATTGTCTTTACCTTTTTCCCCTCTTTCTCCACCTCTCCCTCTCTCCCAATATCAATACGTCTCCTGTCTAATTCTCTCCATCCCATCTCTCTCTCTCTCTCTGTCTCGTTCATATTTATAATATGCTTACTGAAATATAGGGTACAGCTTGTCAAATCTAGGAACGGATTTCAAAGTATCGGCTTAGGACCTACCGTAAGATGTGCGTTCGTTAAGAGACTCTGTGTGTGAGAGAGAGATATAATTCACAAGTCTCTTCCTAATTTTGACAAGCCGTATTCAGTTTATAATTCAGAAAACTGGGGGGCCACACTAGCGGCTAATGTCAATGCCCATTATCGCGATTATTATCGGGATAATTTTTAACGCGCTAAAGTGGGTGGCTACACTTAATACGGTCAACGTGAATGCCCATGATTGGCGATAAAAACGGCGTTAATTTTACTTGCAATATGGACGTTGACAGTGACACTGACGTAGTGTGGCCGCTTTATCGCATTAATTCTCGCGCTAATCTCTTTGATGTACCGCCACTTGAGCTATCGCCTAACGCCAAACGGCAATGTTACTGCCGTTGTCAAATTATCAGCTATAATATCCCAAGGACATTGATAACTAACGAAATAATTTTATCACAGTTTTCGAAAGCACGTTATTTGGTAACATCCCGACGCCGAAGGCGGAGGGATGTTACCTAAAATAACGTGCTTGAGGAAGTTGTGATAAAATTATGAGTTATTTATCAATGTTCGAGGGATATTCGGTGAGAAAATTTTTTGCAATTCGAACAAATAGTTATTTATGTATCAAGGGAATTAGGAGGGCCTTAATTACCGATGGCAAAGTTTGCGTCCCGAGGGCCTCTGGCCCGAGGGACAGCAATTGCCTGAGGTTATTGAGGCTCATTAATTCCCGTGGTACATAGATAATTTTATTTCTGACCGATTTCAATAAAATTTTGTTCATTTTTGAAACGGAAAAATGTACCAATTCATTACCTTCCCGGTATATTTGAATCAGGTACCGTTGATTATAGTAGAGTTTTCTTGTTGCTAGGTTGTTGCTATGTTACTTGTTTATAAACAGAACTTTGTTATCAAGTTGTGTTTGCGGTGAAAACGTGTTTTCTACCCCAAATATAATGGAGGATATTTTAAAAAAAGCTGAACAAGCAAGAGAATCATTAATTCCATCGAAAAGTGAAGCCGTATACCAAAAAGAATACAAGATATATCTGGACTGGCTGACACGGAAAAATGTTATGCCAAAAGATGTCACTGAAACTGTATTTCTGGCATATTTTCAAGAACTGGTAAGGAATTTTCTATGTTTTGCGGTAGATTTGGTAGTAATTGTGTTTATTCGTTTCAGTCAGAAACATATAGTCCGAATTCTTTATGGACTAAATGGTCAATGCTAAAATCGATGGTGACTATACATGAGAAACGAGATATCACCAAGTTCAATGAACTACAGGCTTTTTTGAAACGGAAGAGTAAGAGTTATAAGCCGAAAAAGTCTGCTGTTTTATCTCCTAAAGATGTTATCAGATTCCTAAAGGACGCTCCTAATGATATTCATTTATTGCATGAGAAATTTTTTTCTTATTTTCCTTTTTGTGTGTATTTATTTCCTTTTTTTTTGTTATAGGTTGTTTTGATTATGGGTTATTTTGGAGGGTGCAGAAGTCAGGAACTTTTGAATATGAAGATATCGGATATAGAGGACCGGGATTCCGTTATGGTAGTGAACGTACCGGAAAGTAAAACTGGTGTATCGAAGAAATTTACAGTTGTGGATGAAAAAGAGTTCTCCGCTTTGCCTTTATTAAGACTTTATATGTCTTTGCGTCCTAAAGGTATTGAACGATTTTTTTTGAGCTTCCGACAAAATAAATGTACATCTCAGCCAATTGGAAAAAACATGTTTGGGAAAATCCCCAGCAAAATCGCAATGTATTTAGGATTGCCAAAATCATCTTCCTATACGGGACATTGCCTTCGTCGCACTTCTGCTACTGCTCTAGCCAATGCAGGAGCAACTATGACTAACTTAAAAAGACACGGAGGTTGGAAAAGTTCCACGGTGGCGGAGGGGTATTTGGAGGATAGCATCGAATTGAGAAATAAAACGGCGCGTATGTTGTCTACTTTGTCATCAGAAGAGGCAGGTACCTCAACTGTAGTGAACAGAAGCTCCAGCCATACAAAAGAAGAAATTGTTTCCAGTGGCGGAAGTAATTTTCAGGGAATATTTTAAAATTGTACATTTATTATTTGTAATGACGTGAATAAATAAAATATTGTTCAGTTTTCATTTCTATTTATTTTTACTTGTGAAAGGTAGAGGGAATTAAAAAATCTATAATGTCCCAAGGGAGTTATGACCCTCTTTATTGATAGCGTAACTATGACGATATAAGCTTATAATATCCCGGTCAGAAATAAATTATTTATTGAACACACAGTTATTAAAAGAACAATTCGTATAATGATATTCCGTTGATCTTGCTGTATTTGCCTATTTTTTACTATTGACAGTATTTTTTGGTGTATTTTCTTCAATGATTTTGTCAATTGCCGCATCATTTTGAACACCAAAGCGAGGAAGTGACATTTTCGAAATAAATTGAATTACTGAAATGTCAAACAACTTTATTGTGTTGGTTGCTTAGCAATGTCATGACATAAGTGATAACTACCCGTGAAAACTATCCATGGGTAGTTATCAGTGTAATGATGGTTTCATAGGTTATTTCGACACACATGACTAGAAATAGACAAATTTGATAGGATAATTTTTTTGGCAAAAAATTTTCGCGTCAAGTCGTGGCTACACCTACGGTTAACGTCCATTATCGCGATTATTAATGGCATTTCTCATTAGTGTGGCCCCCAACAGAATAAATAATATGAGAGTGCTGAATGAGTAATAAAAGTACCTATGTGATGGAAATATATTATTTTTAATGATGTGTTTGAGAAAACAGCAAAATTAGAATCTTTAATGACCAATTACATTTCATTAATAAAATGAAAACTCAACAAAAATTGAAATTATTCTTCTTGAACAATTATAAATTTTTCCTGAACGCAAAGAAATATCACTTCATATTGGCCTTTCAATATTAACAACGATCTTCCCTTTTCCTTCGTAGGTACTCTCTGGAAGGTCACTAATCATATGGTTGTGTTGATCATTTACTATTTTAAGAGTTTTTCCCGAAGTAATGAGCCTTCCCCTACACTTTTTTCTCTTCATTGAGCAGCACCACACGGTTTTGTCAGGAAATTTTTTATGCACTGTGTATTCGCAATTTTCATAGATCAAAATGGGATGTTTGTGTCCGGGAATAAATCGCACAACACCTAAAATATGACATGATATATACAGGGCTAGTCAAATTCAAATCTGTGATTAACACAGTTGTATAAAATCAAATTTCCTACAATTTTGGTCCTCATCAATTTTTCCGTAGGATCATTATTTTTCGGTTTATACCTGAGAAGATGTGGGGCTGAACCTAAGTATTCTATTATCGTCTTTGTTATTGATGTTTTTCTATATTTTTTTTTGTTTTTCGTAGCTTTTCTCTGAAAATTTGATGTGTTGATAACGTAATTCGCTACAATTAGGATGCCGATTTTTTCAAGGATCATATTTTTAGGACGCACGCTTATGGTTAAGGAATAATCAGTTCCTGTAACAGTACAACTTTTAAAACTGATAAAATGAACTTCATTTTGTTTTCAGTACACTTTTGAAAATCTTTCGAAATGTCACTTATGTCTGTTTGGAAGCCCTGGAAGAGCTGCTAAACTACAACCGTAAGGTTGTAAGGGAAGTGGAGGGTCTACTTACGGGGCATAGACGACTCAGGAAACATATGAGCAACAACAGAAGACACCCAATGCAGGTTCTGCCAAGAAGAGGAAAAAACCGCACTGCATGTTCTCTGCAAATGCGAAGCGATAGCAAGGCTAAGACACGCAATATGCGGGAAGAGAAAGCAGAGGCTGCCAGCTATATGAAGGGGTCAGTGTCAAGACTATGGAGTCTCGTCAAAGGGATTAAGTTAGACAATGAGCTCTAACAACCAAGGAGCATTACAATAGATCTGAAAAGGTCGCAGTGAATCAGCCCAAGGGCTAGCTCCCCGACAATCTAATCTGGAACGTGCCCTAAGGTATATATTGGTCAAACTGGCAGGACATTTAGGAATCGAATCCAGGAACATCATAAGAGCTATGTAAACAAGAAAACAAATTCAACGTATTCAAATCATCTTCTAGAAGAAAATCACATCTTTAATGAAGAATTCGAAATTTTGCACATTGAAAATAAAGGTTTATGTTATGATTATTTTCAATAAAGTTAGTGGAGATCAAATCGTTTAAGTGTAGTTTGTGAAATTACTATGGATCTTCATCAAGTAACGGCCGAATCAATCAGAAAATCTAATCTCTGTTTGGAAGTTGGCCGTAAGTCGGGCCAAGTTTTCGTCGTTTGATTATTCCCCGTAGTTGTCAACAAATACATCAGGAAGTTCAGGAGAGTCGAGTGTGACTTGTTCCGAGCGGTTTTTGTCACTATCAAGGTCGTATTCATCCAGCAGCTTCCTAATTGGGTCGAACTTCTGTATTTGTAGAGTAGGGAGGGTGAGTGTTGGTCCACAGCACTTAGGCCACATGTGACCCATGGTACATCCTCCATAGGAGTTGTACTCCTAGGTCACCGTCCATACTGTCCTTTCCAGGAAGGTGGACAGGTCACTAGAAGACATCTGCTTTATATCGGCAGGTGTAGGCCAAGACTCGCCAAACACACACTCTCTTATTGACGATAACTCCGGACATTCGCATAGGACATGTCTAACAGTTTCATATTCCAGTTCACACATCCTGCATAAAGGTGTGTCCTTAGTTTTCTCAGTTGACAGTGGCAAATTCTCCTACTGTTAAGCGTAAATTTTTCCTGGTCATCGCCAGATATTTCTACGGCGCCAGATTCCCAGGGTCGCCCAAGGTGATCCTGGCAAGATTGCATCCTTTGATTCCATCCCATCTCTTTAGAGCTTGAGCATGGGTATAACATTTGGCTAGTTCCGTAATTGTCGAAGTCATCAGGCTGTAGGTGTCACTGGGTCCTAAAATTCTTAGTCCAGCCGCTTACTTGGCTGAAGGGTCGGCAATGTGATTACCTTTACTCCCGTCGTGCCCTTTAACCCACCTCAGGATAATGATATTATCTACCGAGGTTATGTCTAAATCTTGGTGACATTCTAGTACTAGTCCTGAGGTAACACGTTGTCTATTCAAGGCTAATAGAGCTTTTCTAGTATCAGACCATGAGACGAAATTTTCGCACGTTTCTCCGTTGCAGTTGTGGCATAAGAATGAACATTTGAGTCACGATTTGACACATTTTTCCACAAGTCATTCGCATTAATATGATATTGTCTTCAGCAAAAATTCTGGTGCTGAATCGGTAACTGTAGGTTCGAGTTTTTCTCCACCCCATTTCTCGTAAAATTGAAAATAAACGTGATAATACAATGATAAGATTTTACCCCCTACTTTTCTCGGGTATAAATCGAAAAACTACGATTCTACGAAAAAATTTATGAGGACCCAAATTGTAGAAAATTTAATTTTATACAACTTTGTTCATCACTGTGTTTCTCGTAAAAGTCAAAATAAACATTTTGTTTAATTATAAAAATCACTCCCTCTTTTCGGGTATGAATCGAAAAAATAGGTCCTATGGAAAAATTGATAAGAACCAAATTTGTAGGAACTTTAATATCAAACAACTTTTGTAATAACTACATTTCGTGTGAAATTGAAAATAAACGAGTTATTCAATAAAGATGGCGGATGACACAATGGATCTGGAACGCCGGGAACTCAAATTAATACTGCCAGTAACCCCCAAAAATTCCGAAAGAAAATTGCCAGTAAAAATGTTTGCGTTGCTGGCCCCTTTTATGAGCTAATTCGACTGGCGTATAAAGTTTTTAACGAAAAACAAGTGAACTCAGAAAAGTGAAAGAGTGATTTTTAATATGGCGAAAAAATTTATATTTTCCGAAAGTTCGTCACAGAGTAACAAAAATTAGAAACACAAACAGCTTTAGGTGTCACAAACATATAAGCAGCTTCTTGAAGTAGTAGTTCAAGCTCTGTGTTAGCGTGCTAAAGGTCAATATCGAGTCAAGTCACATACCCCACAGTTTTTTATTTTTTTCACTCAATTTTCAAGCTACTTAAAATTGACTGAAATAACAAAAATGGGAAATAATTATTTAATGTTTTTTTAGGTTATTTCTTGTTGTGGAATTTAATGGCATTACTCTGGAAACCGTTGTTTATCTTGAGTAAACAATGTTTGAGTTTTCTGTCAATCTTTTAGATAGTACCTTGCTTAGCTATAATGAGGCTTGACCCTTAATGACCGTTCAATCCACCAATGCAATCATGGTTCAGTCTAGCACTACTAATGAGATTCATGGCAAGTCAAAATAGCACTGCCTGGTGTTGAGTATGGAATGCTTTGCTTTTGAGATCCATTTTTGATTATAAAGATAAAAAAAATCAATGTTAGAGAAAAGTGTGCTGTTGATTTCATCCTGTAAATGGATTTGGATGTTTCCTTATTTGATGCTTATACGAACTAAATGAAAAATAAGACTTTGTCTGAACTTTTCTCATTGATTTCTGAAATATGCAATTTCTGTGAGGAACTTACTTTAAATTAGGAGAAATAAATTCATTTACAGTTTGAGGTCGATACCAGAGAATTTTCTTAAGCAATAACGCGTATTTTTCATTGCTGATTGAGATCATACTAGGGAGAAATATTGGTTTAGGAGAAAATTCAAAGAAGCCGCATACGTGTTGTCCAACAATGTATTCAGCCAAGCTAGCGTAGAGGTACGCAACATATGGAAACCCATAATGAAGCGCAAAATGGCCAACTCCCGCCAAACGGTCATCTCCCGAGAAACCGATGAAGCGGAAAAAGTAAAGCGGAGATAAGTGAAAGTACTCAAATGACCCTTAAATAGTCATCTCTCTGAGGAATTAGTCCAGTCATCATCATCGAAACGTCGTGAATTAACTTGGCTTGAAATCTCATAACTTTTTAT